TGGTTCACGTCATTCACCCTTTGTCACCGCTTGACTCCGTCCTTTCAACTGCAATCTTAGCTTCGTTCTCGTGAACTAGCCTGCTGTCACCGCTTGACTCCGTTCTTTCAACTGCAATTTCAGCACACCGTAACAGAGAATAAACATATTTCCATAAGAAACTATAACGGACAAAAAATAATCCGTGGCAGCTCTCTTACAGTTGACACGCTCTTAATGATACAAGTTATACTTTCCTTGCACAACAGATCAGATTATACTTGAATCGTCTTAAAAAACATGCACACTCAAAAACTAGCTGCAATATCAACATTTTTTAGCATCCTGCGCACCATAAACTTTATCACAACGTCGAATTCATGCCACATGTTAAATCTCGCGATAGCAGCTTTGAACAGAAATACGATTACGTACCAAACTGCGGTTGCTGAGCTTCGCATTTTACGCATTCCGCCACGTCCGTCAGCAAACCGATCAGAAGAACGTCAGTCTGGTTGGCTGTAGTACATTCATGCAGATGACACACCTGCAGCAGATGCTCAGAAACACTATGTATTTGTAACGTCACTCCGACGGACTTTGGTTTCTGTGATGTTGTGTTTTTCAAGTCAAACAAAATAAATCAAGCATTAACTCGAATGGATATGACTTCTAGATAATCCTTAGCGGAAACCTATTTGATGAGATCTGCACCTATGCCACTCGTCCAGGATCCCCCGAGTGATGACCGCATATCGCTTTGAGCCGATTGAATAATAAAATAAAGTTTAGATTTTCCGCGTTCTTCCGGTAGGTCAGGGATTGTTAAACAGGGTCAACGTTTTCGCACAAGTTTTCGGGGTCGAGTCTTCCTTTCATTTGGCGGCTGCTATTCACCTGAAAATCACGCGCAGAAAAGATGTGGCCCTGCTCTTAAAGTTCGCAGCGCAAGGCAGTGGGGTAGCCAGTGTAATGACTTACATAGAAACAAATTAAAGTGATTTGGACTGGGAACTTGATCCATCGATAGCGTTAACCACGCGATATGAGAAAAATGGTTGCCAGATAAAATGGTGTCTTCTTGGCTTCAAAATCTTTTAAGCATGTCCCCGCCGTCTGTTATTTGGTTCAACCGTGAAAAACCACATAGCCAAACTTTGTTCAAACAGACCGTAAGTTAGCATAGGTTTGCCCCGGAAGGGACGATATTACCTGAAAATGACGTCGGAAAACGCGAGACACATTTCTCAATCAACCAACGATTAAGCAGCTCGTTGAATACGTTAAATGAGGGTAACTTCTTTATTGCGAGAAATTCATAGAAGGTGCGCCGAATCATGCTTAGAACGGCGAATGATTTCTGAGCGGACTTGTAATGGCAATAAGAGAATTACAAGCTTAAAGAGGGCCAGATACCCAAATCATTTTGGCATGTATTCACCTGACAAAGGTGTTCGCCGGGCATCTTCTGAATAACATATTAAATCACCTTTCGTCAGTCAACGGAAAGCGCTTGTCCAATGACCGCTGCTTAGCAGCGTCTACATCTGTTTGGAAGGCAGTGGTATTTGAAATCCAGACTTACGAATGGTCCGCAAATCGTACAAATGTACTTCAAAGAACTTTTGGAACAGCAGCAGAATCGGTCTGAAAAAACAGCTCTGATGAACTCCATTTCGAACTGGCGCCGAAGAAGTGTATTACAGCCAACTTTCACTCTGAATATTCTGTCCGATGATGCGCCTTATTCCAGTGTATATTTCTATCGTGAATCCCGTAGGACTTGAGTAGGAGCATTTGCGCCACAGCTGACAGCTTCGCTAAAATGTACGCAGTGAAAAGCGTGAAGCATTTACGAATGCTGTCAAGGGACCCTCGCTTGGGAACTCTGGTTCTATCCAATGAAGGCATCCGTTGAGTTTTTCATCCTTATCTTGTGTAAGCTTCCCGTAAATACGACTATGCACGTTAGGCAATAATGTTTTGGGGGGAGAGTATCTCATTGTGAATATCTAGTTGTTATTCGTGTTGATTTGAGATGGCTCGCTTCAGAATGCGGTACACAAGTAAGGTTTACGGGCCCTTAGCTTCCGGGCGCTAGTTAGCCACCAGTTTTGCAAATCTGTGTGACAATTGCTTATTTCAAGCACGGTGAAGGTTGCTTCCGTCAACCAAACGACGAAACACTAGGTAGAAATGTTTTGCCAGCATGAGCAACGTTTTCGTCAGGATCTTAGGATACATTTCGTCTGGCCCCAGTGCGCGAGAGGGTTTGTCTTTTGCAACAGTTGACGAATATCTTCCCCCTTAGCGACTACATCGGTTAGAGGCCGCCTGTAGTTACTTCTTCTCAAGATCCGAACTGACTTTGTTGGTTTGGTAGAATACAAGGCCGCGCAGTGTTCCCTGTAGACTTTGGATACCATTGTTCGGTTAAATGTGGGTTCACCGTTTCAGTCATTCGAAGAGACGGTAATGGGCTTAATTATCCAATGGCGCCGCATATACATAACTAGCACATATTTGAAGGGCAAGGTACAGATTCGTGACTGGTTTTCGCACGTTCCACTAGTTGACTGCTGACTTATAAAGGTTCCGCGTTTGACGAAATGCCAGCCTACCTCGTGCGTCACCTGTGGATATCTTTTAGAAAATAGTGAGAACCGTTTTGAAGAATGCGCCGAAACTTTTACGTAGTCTTGAGTGCATAGAACTGAGTGCTGATTTTTCGTGAACGTGAATGTCCAAGAAAAATGATTTTGTATAGCTCTTACACTGCAGCCGGTCTCAATTTGAGGCGCTCAAGGAAGCGACTATATTCTTGAAAACCAAGCTGAAGTCCAGAATTTCTTTCCCAGCAGCAGACGATATCCAAAATCAGCACACTGTTGAAACTGTGTCTCAGTGGGGCCTTACATAACACTTGATCAACGAAGTGACTTTCGTTATTGACAAACAAATCTAGCAGGGAGGACAGTTGGTATGCGCAGTATCTAGGGATTGCGGCTATATATCTACTCCAAGTGCCTTCTGCTGAGCAGCTTTGACCAGCTTGCCGAACATTCTCCGACAGTCCACGACAAGTTTCACTCTTCTTAGGGCTCATCAAGTAAGCTCGGTCCCCAAATTTCCGTCAACCTTACGTTCTGCTCCATACCGAAATGTGCAAATATAACGAAATTCGCTACTTTGCAAAGAAGTCTGTTTCTTTGACAGATAGCTGGAACCCGGTTGAATCTCCTTTATTTCATCAGGTTCCTAAGTTGTTAAGGTATTTCGGGCCCACAAGTACCATCTGGTATGTCATGTGTTTGGGGTCGGTCGAACTACTGCCAAGCGAGATTTTGGGAAGCGCCTACCCCCTACGACATTTGCGGTTAACCTTTCGCACCTATACAGGCAATGCTCGTATATGCGATTGGTTATGGATGAATGCTGGAATCCCGTGCGAAGATCCCGTATGCGGCATTTGGGGAGAGGATATTCATCGTGAAAGAGGTCTCTGTAAGTCAAATCCTTGAGTAACTCTGCTCCAAATACTACTTCACTCATCTCCTGCTGGTGGGTGACTTCAACGCTCCTAAGGCCTCCTGGATGGAGCATTAGCACGTCGAATCTAGCAGACTTCCTGCTGCAGCACTGATTGAAGTCGTTCAGCAGAGTGCTTGGACTGAACGCGTCGTTACACCCACTAGATACCGCGCAGGTCAACAACCATCCCTCCTGGATTTGGTCATCACTAACGGAAAACAATCCGTTGATAAGGTAACAATTAACGCTCTACTAGGACACAGAGACCACTGTGTACTGACTTTTGATTTCATCTCCTATTGGACCAGAAATCCCGAACCTCAAACGTGGTTTCGGGACTTCTGCCATGCAGACTTCTCTGGAATACGCATCTTTATTGAACAAGTTAAACTGTCGCCAGCTTCAGTGGAAGAACTTTATAGGACCATTGTGCGGAAAGTTCACGAAGTTGAAGCGATGTTCGTCCAAAAGAAACCAGCACGCACTCGGATGAGCCGCACGCTGCCAAAAAGGATTCGGCGTCTTCTGGAAAAGAGGTCCCAACTTTTTTTAAAAATTGATTACAGGAGACAGAATCTGAGCTGGCATTCCGTAAACCGCTGTAAATCAGAAATCCGCAAATGGAACACACGAAAACAAGCGACCATCTTGGACCTCACTCGAAAAAACAAGAACGTCTTGTTAAAATACATGAGACATCGCCGCAGAAACGAGCAATCCGCCTTCTCCTTTAGGAGCAGGAACGGAGAACCGACGAGTGACCCAGCAGCGGTACCTGAGGTTTACAAAGAGCACTAGGCGTGTCTATACTCAGCCCCAGCTTCCACTCTTGTCAAGACGTAGCTACGAACAGCCTCCAACCGACTTGGTCTTCACGGTGGAGGACATTTTTCAACTCTTGCACAAGATCAACCCATTCTGCGCGTTGGGGCCCGACAAGGTTCATCCAAGGATCCTGAAAGAAACGTCCTCTACACTGGCAAATCATCTACACCTGGTGTTTTGTCAGTCGCTTGACGAAGGCCGCCTTCTCTCTGCTTGGAAGGAAGTGATTGTCACCCCAATATACAAAACTGGTGACCAATTATCGCTTGAAAGCTACAGGCCTATAAGCCCCGCTAGCGTGCCGTGCAAGGTGATGGAACGCATTCTGAAGTGAGGTTTCCTAGATCACCCCACTTCCAGCATAAGTCAAATCGGATGCCACATTTTTCGACTTCTCAAAGGCATTTGATGGGGTCCCACACGTCCCGTTGCTCCACAAACTCGAATCTTACGGGATTCGGAGGAAAATCCTTCGCTGGATCGAGGCGTTCTTATCAGACGGATGATTCCGAGTGAGAATAGGCTCGACCTACTAATCACCAGCGCCGATCTCCATTGGAGTTCCTCCGTCTTGGGACCAGTGCTGTTTCTAGTCTAAGTCAACGACCTTGTCCTTGTCACTGCACCATGAGAAATCGGCCCAAAAGGCATTCGCCACTTTACGGATGATCCGACGCACCTTCTCCCGTATTGCTCGAATGGACTTCCAAATGCTCCATGGGGCCTACGTCAGACCACTTTTGGAATACCCCAACCAAGTTGTCTACTCAGGACACACGAAAGACTTCACCCTCATTGAGCGTGTCGAGCGAGCCGGTCTCAAATCCGTGGATTACATAACGCGTCTCAAGATGTTTGATCTCTTTCCCCTGGAGTACCGTCGCCTCCGAGGGGACCCAATTCTTACTTATGCCCTGTTTGAACAAAGCTTGACAAACAGGTTTTCCACCGTTGACCCAGCAAACACACGGCGGGGACATAGTAAGGAAATTTTCAAGCTCAGAGCACACACATTCATTAGACGAAAGTTTTTCTCGCTTCGGGTAGTAGCTGCGTAGAATGCCCTTCCTCCGACGGTTGTCCACGCTCCTTCTAGAACCCAGTTTAAAGCACTATTAGACAATAATTTATGCGGATCCTCGCGCTGGCAAGCATACTGCCCCGCGCTGAGAACACAAAGAGCAGTGCTACACACTCTTCTCACTTGTGCCTTTCAGGAGAACAACAGCCACTGATCAACAAGAGCAAAAGCGATCCGGCAAACTTGGGCAAAAGCCTCGATCCTGCGTATCAATCCGGGAATCCGGGAATCCATATGGGAATGCGTGTACTAGTTAACGCCTTCTTCTCGCTTCCATTGGCATAACGCGCACACTGGAAACATGGGTGATTATGCTGCCTAGGTTCTCGTCAATATTGTTACAGACAACAAACAACGCAACTACAGAAATCTGTACGTAAAGAGAGACATAGAACCGGCTATCAGAAATTTATGTACGCGAAAATTTCACTGCGGAATCCGAGCAACTCTTACACTGACGTGATCCATGTAGGCAAGTTGTAGTGACATTTGTCAGATAGAACTTAACCAACCGACAATTCATTGAAGCAGTCTTCAACCAACAAATGTTTGACAGTCCCAAACAAATTCTGAAGGTACAAGGTAGATGTTTGGTAGATTCATTTACGCGCAATATGAGACAGATCTGATGATTAGCAAATTTTGCAAATCCTACAGCTGTTTCATGTATTTGCGCCAACAAGCCGAAATAGAACGCTTGCTTGAAGACACATTTAATTTTCGACAAGAATCAAACACCATTGATATTCAAACGTAGCACAAAGCGAAAGAGGGACAGTTGAGATGCTAGAGTTGAGGTTGAACCAGAACATTCTAAATGTCGAATTCGCGTCTTGGTCACTGAGCTCCCTTGAGCTACAGAGCTATAGACAACAGAGGTAGCTTGCTGTTTGTTTTTCGTTTGGATTCCTCTACAGTTTTGAATTCAGTCGCATTCAGTTGCTCTCAATCTCATTCGAGAGGTGTGATTTACGGATGAAGGTGGCAATATTGAACTGAAGATGATGATGGTCAGAAAATAATTGAGCCCCACTGACGTTATTTTAGCCTTAGTGCTGTTATCCGCCAAAATGAATTGTGTGTTTTGGTGAGCTATCACAAAACTGAACAATTTGTTGTCCCTCATTTTATCACATCACTGGTCTTTGCATTCGTTTCTTGCCTATTTTCTTTTTCTGTGACCTTCATCTTTGCCACAATCATTCGGAAGTAAACGCCAACCATACCCGCGGACATGTTGAACTAATAAGCGCTATAGATGGTCCTGTTATCTAAGTACGTGTTCACACCCTGAAAAGAGCTTGTTCTTGCTAAAGTAACACATGAGTGAAAACAACCATACTAGAATACATGAGGATATTTGCTAATTATCAATAGAGAATCCCTCTTATTGTTTAAAGCAATCTGTGCTAAAAAACGAGAAGCACTCTTAAACTGTTTGTATTTATTCAGGCCCATCAGCCATGCACACCTCATATAACTCCTACAAATTCCGAAATCGCGACTTTCTAGCTTATGGCTCCATTAATACCGCTCGATCACGAGCGGATGGTCAGCACAGTGAATAACTCATACTATTGCAGCATATAATAGGGTTCACTCCTAAGTCGTGTGGGGATAATGACACAGCTGTAGAGTGTGTTTTGGCTTTCCAGCATCGATCACTTCACTGGCATGGAGAAATCTCAGTTATAAATGGTGGGATTGTCCCTGCAAAATTCACAAGCCATCCTACTTGATTTCATTCAGAAAAAAAATTGGCTTTCCGTAGTGGACCTTGTTTGAGGCAATTCTTGATGTCTTTTGGGGATATTTCGACCTGTTATTGAAGTTAATATTTGCCCAAAATCCGAGAAGCATAGATTGGTTTCACTTACAAGACGAATCTTCACACGAAAAAAACTCAAATCTACTCACACTACCAGCTGTTCTGCCGTTGTCGTTCGTTATTTTTAAAACGAGGGATGGTGTGGCCACAGACTGAGAAAAAAGAAGTGGTGAACTGGAACTTTTGGAAGCCAACTGCCTGTACGAAAATCCACGCCTTTCCCCCTGTTAGAGTCACCTGTTCGCTTGTGTGTACACTGCCAGTTTCCCACATCTTAAAAGACTACCAAAGTAAATGTTGGTTCACCGATGTAAGCGTAAACAAACCGGAGTGATACTTTGCGTGCCCTGGAGTCACAGATGCTCGGTGAAATTGGTGGATTCCTCTGGGATTGTAGGCTTGTTTTACTGAAAACGACGCTTATGGACTTGAAACACGTCAGTGACAAGTTTGCACGTTTTTTTTGTATTTATGTGCCCAACTAGAGGTTTAAGATGGCACGCAGATTGTCCTACGTTCAAGTCAGTTATAAGCCATCACATGGATTCATTGTTTAAAAGACCGTTACACAGGACCAAGGTTTTTCCAAAGTCTCCAGGGTCGGATTTCTTTCCGCTCAGCTGCTCACGAGAACATGAATTCTCAATGTTAGACTCTGAGCTCGACAATGCGAAGTGCCACATATGAAACCACCTAAATGTATTTTGAAATTCGCACCAGATGTACTGCAAACGATTGTCATCTGATCGAAGTAGGAGAAAAATAATATCAGGTAAAATGTTCACCCTAATCTTGAAGATCTTATTACGGAGTTTGGCATGGCCAACGGTGAAATGCCAAGACCTGTTTGAACTGGCAGTAAAAAGGCAGCGATGGTCTAGGACTAGTCAAGGCTATCCGGAGGTGCTTTTAGTCAGTTGATTTGAAGCCACCAAACATCATCATAGCAAGTCCCTATACTCGTTCACCGAGAATTACGAACTATTTACATCCTGATTAGTAAGCATGATTGGCACAAACAAAAAGGCCTCATGCAGTAAATGAAACCATGTGCGAGTAATTCGAAGAAACGTGCGCCAAATCAACCAAGAAATGGTGAGTAGCTTTTGGACTAATATATCCTGGTGCAATTAATAAGCTTTAAGAACGCCAGATAAGCATTCTGTTTGTACCTATCTCAGTAATATTTTCTGCTCTACCCTAACCGTGCAGCATGCAAGCGGCCGACGTATCTCCCCCCAACTAACTTTGGAAACATTTTTCGTTATTCAGACGGAGGTGTCAGCCTCAGAGACCACCGCACCCATTTGAACGCCACTGACGTCTGATTTCAAGTCACCTCTCTGTCCTGGGCATAAGGAAGTTAACCTTGTTTTGTTGATGGACAGAACATTGGGTTTCAATGTTTCTATCGGAATCGTCAGATTATTATATCAAGCTAGAGTGCGCTGGAAGGACTTGGCTCGTGCAGGTTTTCAAGAACATACCTTTCCGCTTTGGTAATGGAATGTCGATGCAACCGCCCTGCAGCAGAATAGCAACCTGCATAGTGCCCTGCGTAGGCATCAGCTGCCGTTGAGGCTTTGCCTATGCGTTATTCAACTCTGTTTTCTGATACCGTGGCCCTTGGCTAGATTTTTCTGCGGTGTCATATATACAAACGTTATATTCCCGCTTTTATGCCTTGATTCCGTAAGAACAGTCAGTGGATCTCCCTTACATGGTGGTCTAGAAACTTACAAAATGCCAGCTTGCCCTTTGGGTACCCCGGGGTTATCTCCATGGGATTCCAAGTTCTTTGGACTATACCAAGAAGAGAAACGGACCCGTGCTGCGAAATCCGTTTCTACAGCGTCGCTTCTGATGGCAACGACAAGAAACTTTGTTTTATAGATGACTGCACGCTGAATTTTGTGAGGGGCCCTTGATATGGCGTGAAGATAGAAGGCGAATTGAGAAAAGCCATATGATTTCCTTCACGAAAATCATTTTATTTCGACCCCTAAAATGACTACGTCTTCGCCATCTTCCGTAATTTGCTTTTGAATGACAACAGCTCTTACTTTATGAAGTGTTCGGAACCATTCATTCGCTCAAAATATGATCCAGAGATAACCGTGCCTGTTCTGGGCCGGTCAATGGCTCATTTTTACGATTCCCTTTATCAGAGGGTGCGCCGCTGATTCTGATTTTAATCTTAACTTTCGGTGCGCTTTATCGAATAATTTTCACCCTCCGAGGTAGCTAAATGTAAAAAATTTTAGACAAATTTGATTGAAAATTTTGCCGCGCTTCTCATCCAGGCCAAACTCAGAACGGAACACAGCCAGCACATTAGCTTACCGAGTGTTCATGAAGCAAACCTCCGCATGCCTGCCCTCCATGCAGTAATCTCTGCACTGCTGCACAATAAGTTGTCTTGGTCAACGTGGAAAAATGCATTATGAATCGAAGACAAAAGGAATCAGAAACAGCTGTTGTATCACACTTTTGATTGCCGAATTTCCAACGAGATCCAAAAGATCGACATTTTTTCGGGGAAATTAAAAAAGCTTGATAAACACATTTGAGGCGATGATGTACATTAACTTCCAGGGGCACTATTATTTGCTCCGGTGAGTAAGCTTTCATTGCTTAGTGGATTAAAATAGGCATTCTTCCTACCTTGTGCGCTGCAGAATCACACTAAGTTCTGGCCTTGGATTTCAAACCACCTATAAAGAGCAAACACTGTCGTCTTCAGTTGGACATTATATCCTTCTTGATTAAGTGATCAGGGTGAGCTTCGGGCTACCTTGGCCTTCACCATTCTCGGGTCGCCGAGCTTCTTAAGTTAAATGATGACCAATTCAACGTTGAAATTGTGATAATCAAAATGGCGTTTACAATGAAAGTGTTGCTAGTAATTTAGCAAATGCTTCCAGCTAATTGGATTAATCTGGCACGCGACTCCAAGCTAATGTGAGCTGAGGACACTTAGCCATTTTCTCCTCGTAAAGCGTTGGTAAAGTCTCCATTCACACTTTTTACACCTCCTCAATGGAAAAGCATTTCGGTTCACACTCCTCAAATTGTTTTATTAGAAAAAATTCCGCATCGGTTGTTTGTCCGAAAGGTATACGTATTGGTCAGGTGTGCGGAAATAGGTAAGGCAAACACTCTGAATCACAGAGAATTTCCAAGCCGCTTACTGACTCTGAATCACACGAGAATTACAAGCCCGCTTACTGGTTTTAAACGTGGATTCCTTGACGTGCCTTCAAGAATACTCAATTCTGTAATGATCCGGGTGAGTCAAACTGAATCATCGGTGGGCTTCTCAGGTTGTTGGTACCGTCTTCCATGATTGAGACTTTGATTTGGCAAACCAGTCTATCTTTGTTTAGTTCCTTGATGTTGCAGATATAGAGCTGCTGTGTTAATG